AATGTTGCTTCTCACAAACTCATTCTCTGCAAGCCTTTTTTACGTGTGAGTAATACATGCATTTGGGAACACAGTGTGCACCAGGTCTGCTTTATTTCAGCTCATTCGAAATACGTGTCTCTAAATATATTTCTGCAACACCGTTATTACGTACCTTACTGCACGTTTCGCCGCAGTTTCAAAGTGAAATGTCCAGTGAGTGGCGCTAAAACACGGGTTCAGTACGTGACCCTGGTACGTTTTTTTTTTTTTTTTTACGTTGATATAGGCACGTATTGCTGTGTTTTTATTACGTTGCTTCAGGTACGTATTGCGGCGGTTCATAATTCAAATATCCGGGGAGTGTCGCTAAAAAATAATGATCTATCGTGTTGGAAATATCCTCTACACCAAGCCCAACCCTAAACCTACCTGATAGTCTTAACAAATGCAAAACTAATATAAAATGCCTTTTTTGATACAATCATGCCATCTGTACTTCCTTATATGCAGGTTTGAACTGTTTTGTCGAAGCATAGTTTCGTGGGATTCGTATCAGAGCTTTTCACCACTCAAGTGCAACTTCATACTGCGTGAGCTACCGAACAAACCTACGACATATGAAAACCCACACATATGAAGCTGAACATGTGACGCTAACGTTCAAAAGTATCAGTTTTGAAATCTCGTAGCATGTTAAAATTGTTTTGAATATATAACATAATATTCCTCAAGTAATTGTGCGAAAATTAGGCTTCATTACTTTGTGTGAAAAGGAATAATAGTTGTTGGAGTTTTACTGCCTCTAGTGTTCATTTCAACTGGAAACTGCAGCGATTCGTACGTATAGGTAAATTTTTTCAGTTTTGCAGAAATGTATTTAGAGGCACGAATTTTTAATGAGCCTATGTTGCTTTATTTACATTCGCATTCTGATATTTGGCAACATTTTTGTGGACAGAAGTTTACAGCATTTCACCAATATTCTGCCAAACTTAAAGCTCAAGGATTTGTCACGTTAAAAGCATGAGTAAAGTGAAGTGAAGTGAAGCATGATTTTAAGTCTTAAGGTATTCACTGACAAATAAGTTTGGGAACCACTGATATAAAGGAAGGTGTGACCGCAACATAACATGCACTATTTTTCCAAGTTGCTTTCAAGTGCCAGTCCTCTAGCTGTATTTTTAAGATCTACTCAAAAACAGAAATTGATTTTTTTTTTTGTAACCTGCATGTGTCAAGCCACCAAACCAGCTGATGCAACGAATAGAATTTATATCTACACAGAAGAAAGCCCTGTCTAGACTCTGCCCCGGTACGAGTTGTGTCGAGCTATTCATTAGCCTGTTTGTTTGATGAAAAAAGATGAAATATAGTTGCAATAAATGCGTTAAGAATCCGTACAATTGCAGCAGTGGAGGACTATTATTCTGCTGCGTGATACTGCAGAAGAACTGATGACGGCACGGTTTGATCTTCGGCTGACCAATCAGCAGAAAGGGGCGTTTAATTCCCGCCCACATGTAGAAATCGAATATTCAAGCTGTTTATTCATTTTTCCACCCATGAACGAAAAACGAAAATTTAAGCTGAATTCTCCTTTTTCGTTTTTTGGAAAAAAACAAAAAAACGAAAAAGGAGCCGTTTTCTCATTTTTCTACTTTCAATATTAAATAAAAAAACGAATGATCGAATGATACACGGATTTTACTGAATCATTTACATCTGATTGTGACATTGGCTACATATTAACAGGATGGTCATTGTGTGCCCTGTGCAGTGTGACTTTCGTATTCTTAACATTTACTGTTTTACATTTGGTTTTACACAGCCCTATATATTATTACCGATTCATTTAATTGTGGAATTGATTTAAGGGATCTGTAATGTGATATGTATGATTTATATGATGTTGTCTTTAGTTAAACCAAGGTTTGTATTTGTATCCATTGGTGTTGGTGTAGTCTTGTTGGTACAGTCCTCATTGAATGCATCAGTCAGACAAAAGGGGCAGTTTTTAAAAGGAACGTAGATACACACACACCTGCAGTGTGTGGAGGAAACAGAGCATGCTGGGTAATCTCATGCATCTTCGATACCATATTGGCATCTGCTGTCTGTACTGTAGCTTTTGGCATTGTGCAATGGTCAGGTGATGGATTCTGTCTAAAATGTAGATGTTTGTGATTTATTGTATTGTGTTATCTTTCAGTTTCTGCTTGTAATTGGTAATTGGCAGAACATTAACCCTTCACTTGATGAGTGAACTCTTATGACTGTCTTGTTGTGTACATGGAGTTGATTAAGGCAGATGGATGCTTGAATGACCCAAGACTCCCATTCAGTACACTGAAAGTTACTATTGTGGAATGTATACTTGTGAATAGAATTTGTGGTCATGTAGGGTTGCCTTTAAAGTGAAAGTGTAACATTTAACAAAGTTACTGCAAAACCCTCAACAAAAATCATAAAGCCAGTCTTTTTCTGAAAATATATGTGATTTCAGGTAATATAGCTCATTATAGCTGCCTAAATTTGCATCTAAAAATGTTTTAAAACCGATATCCACATGAATATTATTTACAAATACTGTGTTACTGTGCAGCAATTTATTCCAGTTTGTATTTTATAAATATTCAGCTAAGATTGTAAGGGCCATTCACACAGGACCTAGTCTGTCTGCATTGTTGTTTACTTGTTTTTCTATGTAAACATGCATCAGATGGATGACTATCATTCCCATTCATCTCAATAGCAAACATCTGCAGTTATATATATGCGGGCCCCGCATCAGCATAGGATGGCCCTGGTTTCACTTAGCCCTTTTAAATTTTTGTACAGAACCACTATTATTCTGAAGACACCTTTTCCTTTTATGCAAAATCCGTATCTGCTGTCAGGGTAATTAGTGTGCTGATTCCTCGAGTCCAGCCAGGTGTTTTGATCGCTCTTCGTGAGACAGGGGAAGACTTATCCACCCAGCCTCCAAATTATGAGCCAGGGGCGAAAGTGAGACAATCTATCAGCTCTGGCCACTTCTGGATAAGGAGAGTTAATCTGAGGATGATGCTGGTAATTTGTGGAGGCGGCTTGACTCTTTGCAGCTTGTGCGTAAATGATTATGTGTGGAATGAGCCTGCAGCACGAGTGCGCTCACGGTTCATCAGCCTTCACGAAGGCATGAAGGCAGACAACGCACACGAGTCAGCGAAATAAACAACGTGAAATTCTTTTCTCAGCTGATGGCTTTCATTTTAGCCTTGCAACCTTTGTGTCTTGACATTGCACACGCTGAAATTTTTTTCTAGAGATTTTATTTATTTTTTATTTTTTAAGCTGCTCACATTAACTCCCAAGTTCATGTCATTTTAAATGTTATACTATTTTCAAGAAAAGTTTAAATTGAATTACATGTGGTGCAAACAAGAATAAGTAATAACATATTTTCCATACACCTTGATTACATGTGAGTGTAAAAAAAGGATATCTCGCTATTTTCTGGGTGTTTGTTAATGATGATAATTAGGCAATATATTGTTGAGTGTGTTTTTGAGCTTGTACATTGGCTAGTTAAGGCATGTCATGGACAGCTGACACCCAAAGCTTTCCATATTCTTCATATTCTGCGCAATGGCTGGTTAACCGTGAAAGAACTTTAAAGCCTGATATTTGTCACCTTAAATGGATTTTCAGGGGCATTTTTATCTTTATATAATATGCATTTTTCTAACCTTATTAGATGTGCACATCCTTTTTTATGTCATAGTAAATAAACAATCAATACATTTAATTATAATAATAAGGCATTATAGAGCTGTTACCAATCAAATGAAATTAGTATCAACAAAATTAATGTTTGCACTGCCAAAGTGGCATAGAAGTTGCATCTGAACTGTTAGGTACATTTGCACAGACTGTGTAATGCAGTTACACTGCAATTAAAATGACATAACATGCTATGATAATAATGTTTTAAAAATAGGATACAATGTTGAATATGTAAATGTGAAATGCTAAAAAAATCAAATTATGCTTTAAATATGAAATGAAAACAGAAAATTACTGTCATGAGTGTGTCACTGAGTCATTTTACAACCTGAACTAACCTCATTCTGTCCTAAGAGGGTCAAATTTTCTGATTTTTTTAGGAACTTATTGATGCTAAATGAATAATGAGGGTTCTTTCTACGATATAATTTCCTGCTTGTTTTTTTCTATAGGTTTGTGCATCTTTGTTGCACCACGTGAGTATACACACACACACACACACACATATATATATATATATATATATATATATGCATACATACAGTGGGTATATAAAAGAATCAATAATATATATATATATATATATATATATATTGATCCAAAGTGGAAATTAAGGTGCTACAGCATCAACAGAAAAACAAAAACACAAGACAAATTAATCAATTCAATCAATCAATAATCACAGTAATCTGAATATTTATTGATTACAGAGTTCCATGCAACAACCTAATTAGCATAGTAAACTCAAAAACACCTCCACACATACACACTCAACACTCTCACATTATATAACATTTAATGGGGCATTCATTCAATACTTAAGATATCAAGTTAGTTATATCAGCCTGGCATTTTTGTCTTTATGTACCCCCAAAATATATCAAAATCAGTTTTAATACAGCAATTAAAAACATGCTCATCATAGAAAGGGTGCAGGCTACTCAAGTCACTATATGAATGAATTGCAAGTTTAATGTATTTAATAGCTAGGAGGGAGAAAGTGTGTCACATCACTGACACAGTTCCTATATTTTATTGCAGACTGCATTGACGATTTGCATCAATCATGCTTTTGCTTGAGGTGAAAATGTTTTAAAAGCATCTCACCTGCTATAAAACCAAAATGTTGTAAAACACCTAAGACTACCGGTTCAAAGCGCACAGCTCTTCAAATCTCCTCTCAGTTTTGCTGTATAGGATTTATTACCATTTGTTCTCTGTTCTTACTCTTGTACTCTTTTATGTCTCTTTAGATCTTTTCCTTGGAGGAGTCACTGAAGAGGTCTTGCTAAAAGAACAACTTGCTGAGGGTGTTTTCAGCATTTCTCTCACCTTTGTCTTTATCTGCTGGCTGGGATGAGGGGGCTTAGGAGCCTTATTGTCGGGCTCCTGTTGGCCTTCTTTTCCACTGCCTTTGGTCTTTATTTCCCTCCTCACGGTAAGTGCGAGGACAGGTAAATTGTTCTCAGGTGTTTGTTCTTATCAATGTAACTTCAACTGGAGGCTACAATCATTATTCAACAGTATTACATCCAGTAAACTCTTCCAGAAAGAAGCATCCTTTTTAGCACAGATGACCATCTTAATGGCCCTTTTATCATGTGATTTGTTTCCTGTAGTGGAGCAGCTGCCAACCATCACCGCTCAGACCTCAGGCTCTCTCATTGCCTTGCCATATGATGAGAACTTCCTGTTCAAGTGTGACGCCAAAGGCAACCCAAGACCTACGTGAGTGAGATGTCTGGTACTTAAAGGGATAGTTCACCTTCAGTTGCTGGTCCCCATTGACTTGCATAGTGTTTCCCCCCCCCCCCATAGTATGGAAGTCAATGGGGACCAGCAACTGAAGGTGAACTATCCCTTTAAGGATGCCAGTGCAGGCAGATGAACTGGAGAAATATCCAAATGAAATTGCCTTTAATGAGCTGAAAGAAGCTTAGCCATTTCGATGTGCAACATGTGAAAATTCGAAATGAAAATACATTTTTCATTGCCCCACAGAGAAAAAACAGACATTGCAGATCACATTTGCACAGCGAAGATGAATTTATGTCTAAATAAAATACATTATGTTTTGGTTTTAGATTCCAACTTTTTTATTACACTTAAATAAATTTTTTCATTTTTTTATTAAATTATTTGATAAGTGTCAGTAAGTCTTTAACAATAGATTCACATCTAAAGAAACGTTGTTTTTTTGTTTTTGTTATAATGAATGCATTTGATGAGAGGAGGTGCACGGAAAGAGGGTTAAAACACAGTAAATTTAAATTAATAATAATAAGAAGAAAAGATATGCACCAACTATACACTCTTAAAAATAAAGTTTTTTTTATTATTGGCATCAATGGTTCCATGAAGAACCTTTAACATCCATGAAACCTTTGATGATTTTTAATTTTGATGAAATAAGCTACTTTTCCCCCTTTTTATATGTGCATGTCTAATAGGTGCCTGTTGTGTGTTTTTAATTGAACAGGTACCGCTGGACGAAAGATGGGATGGATTTTGACTCGCATAAAGACTCTCGGCTCATTATAGAAGAAAGTAGTGGGACCTTTTTGTTACCCAACACTAAAGAAAAAACTAAATACCAGGGAAAGTACAGATGTTATGCCTCAAACAAGCTCGGAACAGCAATATCAGAGGAATCAGAATTTATTGTGCCTAGTAAGTCACAGTTCATCAATATCCCCTGCCACACTTTATCTCAGCTGCCTATCATGAATTGAATATAGCAGAATTCTAGAAATTCTGAGAATTTCCTCAGATCGGTTCCAGGAAATTTGCATATTACATGTAACCACTTAAGCACATCCAACATGATGCTGCTCAACTGGTTTTTAATCTTGATAATGTCTTACTGACAGTTTCATCTGTCTTACACTTTAGTAAGAAAGTGACTGCTATGAATTTAAAGCTGTTTATTTGTGTTGTTTTTGTGCTTGCTCACAGTGGTTCCCAAGTTTCCCAAGGAGAAGACAGAGCCAGTGGTGGTCACAGAGGGCGATTCGGTGGTTTTGGAGTGTAACCCGCCACAAGGCATTCCACCTTGGCAGCTGTACTGGATGACCAATGGTAGTTCAAGACACTTTAAATCAGTTTCCTGCACATCATGTTTGCCAAATAGAGGGATCCAAGCAGATCATTTTAATGCTTTTGTTTAATGTTAGTTTGAATATCACTTCTTCAGATCTGGGTTATTACCATTAATTAAAACCATTAAAAATGTTTCTGAAACCAATTAACCAAACAAAATTTTTTTTAAAATCTAATTCTCAAAATATTAACAAAAATATAATAGTATATTAATGATACAAAAATAACATGCTTCAAATTTACAGCAAACTGTTACAGCAAACATTATTGTTTCTGATATGTCAGTCTTCTCCTTGCTTTTGGCTAAACAGATTAAAAGATGCGTGCATATATTTCAACCGACTGTATATAACGTCTCGGGTTACGTATGTAACCCTGGTTCCTCGAGGGAACGAGACGCTGCGTCAGAAAACGCTAGGGGAACGCCTTCTGCGACCCATGCTCTGAATCACATGTGAAATCAGTCCAATAGCTGAGAGGGACGTCACGGGTGGGTGACCTCATGACCAGGAAGCTATAAAAGCACGTGCGGCGGAGCCAGCATCAGCTTCAGGAATGAGGCAAGCGCTGGCAGGGATGCCGGAAGTATGGCACCGAGACGCAGCGTCTCGTTCCCTCGAGGAACCA